GGAGAACGAACCTTCATCCTCAAAAAAAACTCATGTTGTCAAAAAGAACATATTTCTGCAATAAGCATTAAGCATACTGCTTTATGATATGTACGGTGTATAGATTTAGCAGAAGACAACGTATCACTCATCAAGAAATATTTATTTCCAAGATACCAGAACTTACTTTAATTCGAGGCATAGTGACAGTAGGCGCCTTGGCTTCTGCTATAAAAGCATGCGTTGTGCCCTTTTCCACCAGCTCTGTTGTATATGGCATGAATTTTAAACCTTTTGAACCAAAAACAAAGTCATCTCTCAAGGCATCAATCAACACTATGACCACTTTGTTAAAAATAGGTGAAATCTTGGTCCAGTTTGATGTCAAGTCTAAAAAGAGAAAAAAAACACCACATGAGACAGTAATCTAAGCCAATACTTAGTCTTCACGCATACTAGCTTCAATGTCCCATATTTTCTACAAATATCTTTAAAGGCAGGAATCAACAAGCCATAACTGATGGTCACAATTTTAATTCTGACAGATGTAATTTGTCTCTTGTTTCCAATAATTTTTTATTACTGTTAATTATGTCAATACTGGTTTCTGAACAGCTAAAATCACATGAGAAAAACAAGAGAGAAAAATGTGGCAAGTGGGGAAAAGAATAAGGAAGCTAGTGAACTGTGAACAAATATTGTAGAAACTCAGTATGTGATCCATAAATAACATCTGCAGTTTTCTTCCTTATTTGTTGGCAGGAAGCTGCTGTTTCAGCCTCTCTGGACCTTCTCTAGAACAAGGGTCCCAACCCCCGGTCCGTGGACCAGTACCGGTCCGCGGCATGCCAGCAGCCGGGCCGCACAAACAAGCAAAGCCCCATCCGCGGGATGCAGGCAGCACACAAAACCACGCACACTCCGGTCCGCGGAAAAGCCTCTCCCCATGGAACCGGTCCATGGTGCCCAAAAGGTTGGGGACCTCTGTTCTAGAAGTTGCATGAGAGGGCTCTGCTGTCGTGGGAACTCTGGAGCCTCCGAAAATTGTGCAAGAATGCTCATATGATTTTTTTCAGAGGCTGCACGAGAGCCAGACTTTCTTCTAACTTCCAGAGGGTCCAGAGGCTGACGTGTCACCAAGAATGTTATGTCACATCACCAGTAACGCCTGTGCCATAGATTTGCCATCATTGCACTAGATACATGATCAGATGACTGTCTAGCCTCTTCTTCCTCAGGCTACTGGGAACTAATATTTAACAACAATTTATAGAGACCATGAAAAGAAAAATGAGTTTCATAGGTTGCAAGAATGTATAAATCAACACAATGAAATATTTTTAAACAAAATATTAAAATTAGGAGACATACGGAAAGGATGAATACAGCACCAATAAGAGCCAAAGCACTATAGAACAACAGGCCTATGAACACCATCCAGGGCTGTCTGCAAATAAACTTCCATTTGTTGCAGAATTTGTACAAGTACATTCCAGTTAGTCAAAGGGCACTGTTTTTTTTAATTTATATATTTGATAATAAAGGTGATGGAAACAGAAAAATAAAAAATGACAAATTAATCCAAACACACCTGACATTTGAGGAAAATAAGCCAAAGTTACATATTTGTGTATGGCAAAAGTATGTGAACCTCTAGGATTATCAGTTCATTTGAAAGAAAAATTAAGAGTCAAGTATTTCAGAGGTGATTGTATTATTTACAGAATAGAATTTTGGGTATTTACTATCAAAGTCTGATCTTCACAACCCAGGTATGTGGAAATTTGTCATGTTCTAACAAGGAGATTTCTGAGGACCTCGAAAAAACAGGTGCTGATGTTCACCATGCTGGAAAAGGCTACAAAACTATTTCCAAAGTGTTTAGACTCTACCAGACTCTACTGTCGGGCAGATTGTGTACAAAAGAAGGCATTTCAACACTGTTGTTACTCTATCCAGGAATGGTTGAACAACCAAGATCACATCAAGAGCGAGGGGTGTAATACTCCGGGAGTCTTAAAGAATTTCCAGGATAATGTCTAAGACTAAAATCCTCTCTTGCACTGATGAATGCCAGTGTTCATGACACCACCATCAGGAACATTAAACAACATAATGTGCATGGCAGGGGTGCAAGGAGAAAGACATTTCTCTCCCAAAAAAGAACATTGCTGCCCATCTACAGTTTGTAAAAGACCACATAGATAAGCCAGAATTTTATTGGAAGAATGTTCTGTAGATGGATGAGATCATAATAGAACTTCTCAGCTTGAATGAAAAGTGTCCACAAAAGGTAAAACATTGCATTCCAGCATAAGAATTATGCCCTCAGGAAAATGTGACAGTGGCAACATCTGTTGTGATTCCTTGCCAGCCAGTGGATTTGGCAGCTGAGTCTGAGGAATCAGATGAGGAGGAGGGGCCTGGAGTTCAGAGGAAGGCTCTGAGGATCTCCAAGACTTACAGTCAGACAAGGAGCCTGGCCCCTCTACTCACGCTCAGGCTGAGACACAGCTGTGCTGGGAGCCTGAGTTGGATAGTGATGAAGAACAGTTGGGACAAATCCAGAATGCACGAAAGCGCAGGCAAGAGAAGCGAGTAGGACAGAGGAATGCAATGGGGCAGCTCCAAAGGCAAAGGAGAAGGCATTAGGAAGCCACGCCTTGGCTGAATTATAAAAGGGAAGATGTGGGAGGTGCTGGTTGTCAAAGGCAACCGTTCATATTGAGGATCAAGTTTCTTTGGACTGTGTTTGTTTGCCTCGGACATTGACTCAGGTCTGTGAGAATCAAAGGGGTTGGTTTTTTCTTGCGGTTCCTGCCTGTTTCTTGGAAGAGGGGTTTCTCCTTGTGAGCATAACAAGGACTTACGTAGGCTGGGACACAACAATATCCATGGTTTGGGCTTGCTCTGTCCTTCTGGACAAAGACAGCGTGCCATCATTGAATGTAACTATGAATTCTGAATTGTACCACTAAATTCTACAAGAAAATGTCAGGGTATCTATCAAGCTCAAAAGAAAATGGCTCATGCAGCTCGACGGCAAACCAAAACTGCATAACAAAATGATTAAAGCAAAAGGAAGTTAACATTTTGAAATGGCAAGTCAAAGTCCTGATATGAATCCTATGGAAATTTTGTGAAAGGACCTAAAGTGAGCAGTTTATGTGAGGAAGCCCAACAACATCCCTCAGTTGAATATCTAGTTTTAGGACTTGTGGAGAACAGGTCATGTTTTAGGACGGTCATATATATGCAGAAATGTTGAAAATTCAAAAGAGTTCACAAACTTTTAAGCACTGTTGTATGTGAATTTTGTCATTTAGTAGTGAGGACTACTAAGATTTACCTAAATGGTAAGAAAAACTATATTCCAGAACAATCCAGAGGGTTTTTTCCCCTCTAGATAGTTAATATGCAGTTTTTGAGTAAAAAGGAAAAGCCAGAATTATCTGTCCAAGATTCTATTATTTAATGACATGAGAAATTAAAATATTACCAATTCAGTAATTAATTTAGTGAAGGCTAAACACTTTGATTAATTGTTTTCTTACTTATTTTACTCTGAATCCCAAAGTCTCTTGAGGCAGAATTAGTATATCTTTGACTGTAACACTGGGAACATGTTGAAATCATATTATTATTAGAGGTTTATTCCCAGAGGTATTTTAAACATTTACATTCTTCGACAGCTGCTCAAGCTTCGTCATCTTCATGGAACTGTTGTTGATATGCAGTAGCCCTGGAAAGATGTGAGCTCCCACCTGATCCAGCCCCAGAGGACACACACCATAAGGCAGCACTGCCTTTTACTCAGCTTAAAAGCAAGCAAGATGTGATTGTCAGAAATAGCCAATGCTTCCAACTGCTTATTTCCACTGCCTCTTGTAAGATATAGTAATAAGGAGGGGGGGGCTCCATCTAAAAGATGACAGGTGAGTGAGTAGATGCTACCACCTCACTTTTGTTCTTGCCTTTCCCCACTTAATCTGAGAGGCATGCAAGGCCAGGGAAAAATATACAAGTAAGAGATAGCTACTGCTTCGTAAAAGCTGCAGAGTATTCTGGGTAGCATAGTGATGATCCAGGCTTTTAGAGAAAATACAATGTAAGTGATAGAAAATCCCTAGCATTAGTAAGACAGTAGTCCATTAGACAGGAAAGTTAAGAGTTATTTCTTCCTCTAGATTAGAACATGTCAAATTTTGGGGAACAGTTTTAGCTTCTCCAAAAACCTGGTCTGACTTACCACTTCTTCTATTAAGTAGATTGCAATTTACAATTGAAGGAATCCTTACCAAATCTATATCTGATAGAAAACTTAGGAAGGGTGGCTAATACTTGGGACAGGGGAAAATTAATTAGGCTACAACAGTAGGCAAAAAACGTGTAGAATGAAATTTAACAGGAAGAAACATAAAGTCATGCATCTAGGTAAGAAAAAGGAAGGAAATGTGTACAGAATGAAGAAAATCCGACTCAAAAGCAGCATGTGTGAGAAGAACTTCAATGTACTAGTATGAAGTCAACATGTCCCAACAGAGACATGCAGAGAAGGCCAATGACATCTTGAATGGCATCAAGAGGAGCATGGTGTCCAGATCACAGGAATTATCCCACCCTACTCTGCCTCATTTGGAGTACTACATTCAGTTCTGCACAGTCCAGCTTTTAAAAAAAAGACACTGATAAACTAGAGGAAGTTCAGAGAAGGCCTACCAAGATAGTGAAAAGACTGGTAATCAAGGAACAGTTAAATGAAATAGGTTTAGTTTGAACATTCAGAAAGAACGTGGAAGCTGTCTTTAAATCTGAAGAGAAATCACAATGTAGAGATTCAGACTTATTACCACTTGCTACAGAGGGTAAGTCTAGAAGTAAAGGAATGAAACTTCAAGAATGTAGATACAGATTAGAAATTAGAAGACATTTTTAGAAGTAAGAGCTGTCAATCAGTGAAAGAGGTTAATGCAGAGTGATTTCTTCCCCTTCACTAGAGGTTTTCAAAGATAGACTGGATAGGTTTCTAGCGGGGATAGTGCAGTGATTTGTGCAAAATACAGAGATGACTTCATAGGATCCTTCCAACTCTGTAATTCTACTGTATGCGACCAACATGAAAAGTTATTTTCTAAAAAATCAATTTATTTCTGGACCAATTGGTTTATAATTTGGCACCTACTGCCCATTTTCTCCATTGTTTTAAGACTGGATTCTTGATCCATTAGCAATTTTTGTTAGGAAATATTGAGATATCAATTTTGTATTGGGTAATTCTGAATATAATTTATTTTTATCTCTGATATTTTGACATTAGATCATTGACTCAAGACACCTAGTGTGTTTCAATGATTGATGGTGGATTAGAACCTGACTGTCCCCCAACACAAGATCTTTACCACTACACAACATTAAGTCTTCATTCTAAAACTTTTCTTAAAAGGTTTAAAACAAATATACAGTAATTGAACATAATGGTATATAGTACAATATGCCACTTGGTAATATAGGAGTGAGCAACAAATTAACAGACTCAGCAACCGATTATTTTCCTAAAGTGTAAAGATAAAAAATGAATCAATGAATAAAGAATTTGAGGTGATCCAGTATAATTTAAAATGGTTATTTTCCTTGCGTTATCAGGACAAAATATTTCAAACAACCTCAACAATTAATGACATTCCTAATGAATTCCTAATGATTTCCCAATAGGTATCTGTTTGGTCATTTCTTTTTGATAAAAATTAATCTGAGTTAAAGTTGATAAAGTGCTTTCTGTGATATATTAATAATAATCATATATATGTGATGCTTTAGTGTACCTGGGTGCTACTGTTGTTTTTTTTACTCTGTAAATAAGGTTGAACTGACTGGTGTTGCATAAACACACTTTGAATAAATAAGGTTCTAAATAAAGCCTTAGTACAGGTACTGAAGAGTATATATTCAAACTATTTCAAATAAAACTCCCTTTTATTAAAATGATAATTATAGAAACTTCCAAGCTAGTGAATACAATTATAATCAAAATCTTTAAATTAAGCTTTCCCGACTAGTAACTTAAATTAACTACATCCTGCAGCAGATAATACTGATTAGTTTTAGACTGGCTTCTGAGAGGCCTATATGGCTGCAACCGCATTCAGCAGCCTAATGGATAATTTTGCTGGAAATCAAGACAAGAAGTTTGAATTAGCAATACTTTATCTCTTTGCAGATTTTTCAATACCTGCAGATTTTTCAATACGGTCAAGACAGGCATGCCTACAGATAGTCCAATTTTAGTGATCTCATTTAATGATTGGTCGCAGGTAAGACAAGGATGGAAAAAGTAACTTTATGACTAATCCTCACATTTATGATTTTTCAAGTCTGTAAAGGAAAGCTGAAACAAAATCATAAGCATAGTTGTGATGTCACTTAGCAATCGCTTTGCTGAATGACCAAATAGCTGGTTCCAAATGTAATCACTAAATAAGGACCAACTATACATTTCCAGAGAGGTAATAGATCTCCGCATTTTAAACTACGTCATACTTTCTCAAAAAGAAAGTACGGTATGTAGTTCAAGGTCACCTGAAACTACATCTGGACCAAATTCTCCAGGTCCCCAGACAGAGGAAATGGCCCTCAGCCCTGTTCATCATCACTTTGGAGAGACAATTTTTCTTTTCCCAAGGAAAGTAAATAATAATATCAACATTCGAGTACAGTACTGTAATATGTTCTACAAAACCTGTTTTGGCATCTAGATCAGAATTTCCATTGGTACAGAAGTCAACAGCTTAGCTAGTCTTAGAATTCACACAGTATACACATACTAAAAGCATCACTTTGACTGCCGTATAGTTTCTACTGAAATCAAAATGCTGGTTATTAATATTTCAAGGCCTCTGTGGATTTTGTTCAGGTTACTTGCAAGAACCTCCATGAGGTTCACTTACATTTGTTACAGGCTCGTCTTTGTGGCAATCCAGCTTCAAGCCATTGAGTTGAGGAGTGAGCCAACCATTTTAAAATGGCCCTTCTAATGCCTTTTCAAGCAAGACTTTCATTGATTTTTAGCGCCACAGGCTTTCATTTCCATTTTACTATTTTTACTCTAAAATACAGTATTGCCCTATCTGGAGAGTTGGCAGTACAATAAGCTAACCAAATAGGCCACTCGCTGCTCCCTTACCTCCTCTCCCTAGTCCAGTGATGGCGAACCTTTTAGAGACCGAGTGCCCCAAAACTGGCCCCGCCCCTGCTCCATCCCCTGCCCCGCCCCTGCTCCGTCCCCCCATTCCCCACCCCACCTGCCCACAGGGCCACTCACCACCTTCAGGGCCCGCCGCAGATCGCCCAGGCAGCCCAGCAGCACTATGGCGGTCATGCCCTCTGCCCGTGCCCTGCAGCATCAACTGTGCAAGATGGGGTATGAGGGCAGAGTCTTGTATACACTGCCTGGCTGCCATGTCCTTGGCTGTGCTGCTCTGCGTGGGCCACACTCAGGGACGACTCTCCTTCAGGAGGGCTGCTGGAGAGGAGGGGGTCTCGGGGGGGAGGCGAGGCTGGGGCAACGGGATGTGTGCCCACAGAGAGGGCTCCGAGTGCCGCCTCTGGCACCCGTGCCATAGGTTCGCCACCACTGCCCTAGTCTGAATAACTTTTGGGGCCCAGTCTCCATCACTGGCGTAACTCACATTGGGATTATAAATCCTAGACCTACTGTTTCTTCTTTCTCCCTTTGGCCCTAATCCTGCCCATCTTGTTGCCCAAAAGAAGGAAGGCATTCTGCCAAGGAAAAGGGCAGACCACCCAACTTTTTCTTCTGGCAAAAGCCATCGTTTGGACCGGGACGCCTTGCGCACAGTCACTCATGCTCTCGTCACCTCCCGCCTGGACTACTGTAATGCTCTCTACATGGGGCTCCCTTTGAGGAGCACCCGGAGGCTTCAACTGGTCCAGAATGCGGCCGCGCGGGTGGTGTTGGGAGGGACTCGTCACTCCCATGTAACACCGCTGTTGCGCGAGCTGCACTGGTTGCCAGTGGCCTTCCGGGTGCGCTTTAAGGTGTTAGTTACCACCTTTAAAGCGCTCCATGGCATAGGACCTGGCTATCTCCGAGACCGCCTTCTGCCGCAGATTCTCTCCCATAGACCGGTACGCGCTCACAGAGTGGGTNTTCAGCAAGCGGGCCTGGCCTAGGGAGGATTTTAAATCGGGTTGATTTTTAGAAAATTTTAAATATCACAACTTAAAATATTTGGGTTTTAATTGGTTTTATTCGGCGGGGATTGTGGGTTTGTTTTTGTTTTAAAAAATGTTGTGAGCCGCCCTGAGTCCCTTGGGAGAAGGGCGGGATACAAATTGAATAAATGAATAAATGAATGAATGAATGAACTGTTTGCTTCACCTGCCCGGCAGGCAGGTTCCTGATGCCTCTTCCTCTCTGAGCAGCAGAGCAACCAAGGCTCAGGGTCCAACAAACACTGCTGAGCCCAAGCAACCTGCAAGAGTTGGCGAGGAGAGAGGGGTTGCTCCCTGCAAGTGCAAACGCCTCAACTCCTGGCAAAGCTGGGCGCCTTTCGGAATTGCTGGAGCTGGCACCGCCCCTCCGCTAAACACCCACAGAGAGAAGTCAAGCAGGTAAGCCAAAGCCACTGGAGTATCTCACTCGCCCTCTGCCTTGCTTGGCAGGCTGCAGGGGCGGGGCCGTATGCCATGGAGAGAAGCGAGGAATGGGTTTTTTTTCCCCACCCAACTTTGAAAAGAGCCCCGCCTATCTCCTCGGGGCAACCCCGCCCACACCTTTCCTGGCGAGATCCCAGGAAAACACACGAGCGAAGGAAAGGCGCTGTACCTGTCTGAGGAGGCTCGGGCGGCACCTGGCCGAAGGTCCCGCTCCGAAGCTGCGATCTGACTGCCACCGGGAAGAAGCCTCTCAGGAAAAGCCCCACGCCCAAGGCCTGCACCAACAGGCAGAAAGAAGCGAAGACGCCGGAGCGCAACCGCATCCTTCAACTCCAGCGCAGGCAGGCAGGTGAATCCGGAAGGAAGGTAAGCAGGAGAGGGACACACCTGCGCAGCAGCAGCAGCAGCAGCAGCAGCCCCCCCCCCTCCGGCGGGCCAAGCAGGCGGCAAATAAGGATGGAATTGAAAAGCCAGGCAATCATAATAGGCCCAAACGCCCAACGCGCACACTGATTGGCCAGCGGTTGACCAATCCGCGGGAACTAGCCGCTTGAGAACTACGCCGAGGAAAGAAAGCTTTGGAAAAAAGGAAGTATGAGCGGACTACATCTCCCAGAAAGCCTTTGCGGCATCGCCTTGGCGATCGATGGAAGCCAGTCAGTCTCGTAAAAACCATCAATTTCCAGGTGTAGGTCTTGTAGTTGGATATTTATAGGTAGCGTTACAATTACTTAGGTATTCCACATGCTCTTCCTTTGTGATTTGTTTCCAGCGGAAAAGAGGAAGCTCGCGGGGAGCAGTGATTATGAAATGGAATAAGTAAAATGGATTAAGACCAAGGTTTAGAGTTTAGCATAGAGGCGTTGATAGAGTCGGAAAAATAAAGAATAATTGTGTATGTACTTACAGCTGCAGATCAAAGTCAAAATTTCATCATAATTTTTGTGTAAATATTTGTTCTGGATTTGTAATTATTGTTAGTGTCTAAAGCAGTGTTTCTTAACTTTGGCAACTTTAAAACACATGGACTTCAACTCTCAGAATTCTCCAGGCAACATGGCTGGCTGGGGAGTTCTAAGAGTTGAAGTTCACATGTTTGCCAAGATTGAAAAGCATTGATCTAAAACTGAATTGCATGATATTCTTTCTGTTCCAATATTTGTAGGGAAATAGTTTTTTTTTTAATCTTTATTTTGGGGGCAAAATAATATGGCATGTTTACATGTGGGACAGTCTGGAGGTTTATAGCTGTTTCTGGTATTGGTATTTTAACAATTTTGCATGCTAATGCTAAAGTATACTACTTTTACTGTTGAGTCTAGTCTTACACTATTTTCAGTAGTGTAAACTGAACAGAATTAATCTTATTTGCTATGCACACATTTATCTACAAATTAGAGCCACGTTGTTTGTTATAAATATTATCCTTCATATTTGTTAAAGTTGTAAAAAGTTTAAATTTGTGTAGCAAATATTTCAATTTTTCCAGAGTTTTCCCTCACCCATTTTATCCTTGGGTTCTAGATTTCATCTAATTTGCTACTTCTGCATGACATACCAAAACTTAAAATAGCAATACATTTAGTCCTGGACAATAATCGTAGTGGAGCCATACAGTTACGGTTGCAAACAGTGACAACCATAAAGAGGGACAGCCTTGCTTTATGAAATCCCCACCCTTTGCTGTCCCTGATGCCACCATTAAATGAATTTGCAGGTCATTAAAAAAATATGAGTTACAATTGGCTATAATATAGAATTAGAAAAATGGCAAATGTTATGGGAGAGAAACTACAAATTAATGTCAACCTCATACAAAGAAAATCTGTATAAAATGTTTTATAGATGGCACCTGCCACCAGCAAGATTAGCAAAAATGTTTAAAAATATGTCAGATAGATGTTGGAAATGTAAACATAACATAGGCACGTATTATCACATTTGGTGGACATGTGGTAAGGCAAAGGCCTATTGGAGAAAGATACATATGTGGTTAGAAAAAATATTGGGTGAACAAGTGGACTTTAAACCTGAACTTTTTTTACTAGGTATTATGCCTGAAAAGACTAATAAGCAGAAATTATATTTAATTTTACACATTACTACAGCAGCGAGAATAATTTTTGCACAATACTGGAAGAACGAAGGACTGCCATCAGAAGAAGAAATAATCATGAAAATATTGGAATGTGCAGAGATGGACAGATTAACTATGAGGTTGAAAGATAAAGAAGATACAGACTACTATCAAATTTGGAACTTATTTTATTCTTGGCTAGAGGAAAGAATGAAGGATTAGGAATTGAATATGTACTAGCATAGCAAACTCCAGACAACTTGTTGACTGGAAAAATTAACATATGTTGATGAAAAAAAAAACCAATAAAATTTTTACAAATATATAGTCTGGGCTTCTGCCTCAATCAGCTGGCTGCCAGGAGACTGCAAACCTCTCCTGGCACTTACTAGCTTTGGGGAAGTCAGCCCTTTGTATGGAAAGGTGGTAGCTTCAGGACAGACTTCCCAAAACCTTTCCCTTGCTTAACCCCCTCCCTCCCACAGAAAGGGGGAGGGAGGGATAGACTTGTTAATCTTTCTGCCACCCCCCCCCCTCCCCTGGGTACTGAAACTAAACTCGCCATCTCTGCCCTCCAATCTCAATCTCTTTTGAATTAGCAAATGTTTTAGCAAATTTAATTTGCTAAATTTACTGCATGCCTGGAAAGAAGGTGACACAATCTGTAAGTTTCTTACCTTGATGAGTCACTGTCAGGCTCAAAATAGAGGAAAGGAAGGAAGCAAGCAAAGAAAATCCTAAAGGCAGTTAGACAGGCAGCAAAAAGCATGGAAACCTTTGGAAAGACTGTCTGCCTTTAGGACCCAGCTTCCATCCAGGCTGTTTGGTGCAAGTTTGTGCTGCCACTTTTTCTTTAAAACCGAACTTTTGCTTCAGCTCTTCAAGGCAAATAAGGTGCAGAAAGATTTTCAGGAACAGCTATCTATCTTGTGAATATCAAATGGCATCACAGCCCACCCCAGCTTTACAAAAACAGAAAGTGAATTCAGTAGAATTTGGATCTAGAAAAATAGAAAAGTTACTTTTTAGGATGTGTGCAATAATATTTGGAGGGGTTTTCAATCAGAATAGAGCTGGAAGGGACCTTGGAGATCTTCTAGTCCAACCTTCTGCTCAAGCAAGAGACCCTATGCCATGGGTGTCAAACTCACCACATCATGTGACGTATCACGACATATTGTGACTCTTTTTGCACTGAAAGCAATGGGGTGGGTGCGGCTTCGGTATGATGAAACCAGCCCGTGGGCCGGCAATTTGACACCCCTGCCCTGTACCATTTCAGATAGGTGGCTGTTCAGTCTTTTCTTAAAAACCTCCAGTGATGAAACACCCACAACATCTGAAGGCAAGCTGTTCCACTGGTTAATTGTTCTCACTCTTAGGAAGTTTCTCCTTAATTCCAGATTGCTTCTCTCCTTGATTAGTTTCCATCCATTGTATCTTGTCTTGCCTTCTGGTGATTTGAAAAATAAGTACCCCTTCTTCTTTGTGGCAGCCTCTCAAATACTGGAATACTTTTTTTTTTTTTTGCTCTTATATTTGGCTTGCTTGGTGACAGGGAATGGAAAGGCAATTCATAAGGGAATAACTATAAGGTTACCTGTTGAATTTTTGCAAATAGATATAGTATAATACCAAACCAGACTTTTTCTGGGTAGCTCTTGATGAAAACACTCTGCTGTTTGATGCTTTATAAGAGGTTTTATGGTGGGCTAAAGATAGATTATTGACTACAAAGAATTGGCTGATCACTGAGATACAAAAAGAAAATGGTGTAATCTGACGTATGTTCTCAGTACTGTCTAAGGATGCCAAATAGTTTCTGGCATATGCATTATGAAGTTTCACTTCTGCTAGCTATAGCATCTATTCTTGCCTTTGTCTCCTAATTTTTTTGCTTAGAGCTAATATGTCTGGGTTGCCTCTACGTTTAAGACCACTAGAAGGCAGCAAAGAGTTAAACATTTTTCTTGTTACCATCTAGCTTGGCCTCCAGATATGATATGATATGATATGATACACCAACTTCCTAAAATGGTAGGGCTAGCAGGGTAAAGTAAGCTGTATTATGCCTAACTATGATTCACTGAATAACATAAATAGATAGGATGAATGGGGAAACAATATGGAAATCTATCAGTTTCCATAAAAGTAGCACTTAATACATTTTGTCGTGTAATGCGAGAATAGTGCAAATATATCATAACTAGTTATCACGTATTGTAGACGTCCGTAATCTTTTTTAGCACCCTGGAGTTACACAGGCTATAGGGACATGCCAAATTGCCATGACCATTGAGAAGAAAATCCAGGAAAGATCCTTAGAGAACACATAGTCACGGCCAACATTTGACTAAAGATGGAGACAAGACAAAAAACATCAGACAAAGAAGATTTGAAAAATGTGGAAAAAAAGTACCACACATATGCCTATTTGCAAATTCTCAGTCCTGATGTATTCGGCTTCAGGGGACTGTGGTTAAGAAAAGCAATATATTAATGAACAATGAAATAATCACAGACATTACAACTTATGAACCCCACATTAGCCTTTGTTAACCAGAGCAATTATAAATAAATGGAAAAGATTTCACATATAACAAGAATTTGACTGAAAAGAATCTCAAAGAATGAAAGCCCATACCAAGTTAATTGAAACATCTATAAATAGAGCCCATTAACTCAATAAATGCAATTAAACACAGTTTGCATAATTAACAAAAAAATTAAAAAGATGCATCCTGCATTCAGCCTCCTATCGCTTCTGATTACACATGGTATGCAAGGACATAATTATGTGCCAAAAGAGAAAAAGCATATTACAAATAAACCACATATATATATATATATATATATATTAAAAATCTACATATTGTTATGTTACCACACAAAGAACACTCAGAGAATATGGCTACATTTAAATTGTTACTACAGTGAAAAAAAGAAAACCCCATAAACAAACATATCCCCCCAAAATCAATTATATGTGGAGGAGGAAAACTGCAGGTGCAGAATACTTTAAACTCTCAACAACTGTGTGAGTGAAAAGGCATTCAACGCTTAAGTGTTGTACTTAATGGTATATGTACTTGAAAATTCAACCACCAGATTCAAAATACCAAATATAAACATGTCGAAAACTCAAACACATCCTAATCACAAAAACATGGAATAAAGTAATTGGAGTGATGCAGTACAGTGAGGAACTTCACTAAGACCTTGACAGGCCATTTATTTTAATCTTATTATCCCATCTAGCCTCTATATAAAGAAGAATCTTATCCTTATAAGCTGGGGTGTATCCT